TAACTGCAAGAGCAAAGGCCCAGAGGCTGGAGAGAGCAGAGAGGGTGCTGGAAAGGAAAACCAACTCCTCATCACGAGGTGCAAAGTCTTAAGGAAAGAGCGATGAGGCTGGAGGCCAAATCCTACAGGGATTTGTAAACCACTAAAAAGTCTGGCGTTTGAAACTGAAGAGTTTAAGCAAAGAGGTCAGGGTCTGGATTTGTGTCTTGGAAAAATCGCTCTGGCTGCAGCAGCAAAGATGATTTAACAAGAGTTCAGTTCTGAGGTTCTTGTTCTCCCCTCGGCAAGAGATGAATCAGCCTGGCCTAGGAGAGTGACAGCAGGGTGGTGGTGGTGGGGGGGAATGATGACAGTATTGGGCTGTCATTTATTGAGCACTTAGGATGTGCCAGGCTCTGTGTTAAGCCTTTTATAGCAATCAGCCTTTACATCCTTTGAACAACCCTATCAGGTTATCACTAACATCAGCCCCATTCGACAGAAGTGGAAACTGAGCTCCAGGCAGATGAAGCATACATCTGGAGGATAGAGAGCCAGAACACCCGCCACCCCCCCTCCCAACCAGACAGGCTGGCTCTGACATGTCCAGAATAGCGAAGAGGGGGTAGGGGGAGAAAGAGTTACAGGAACTCCCTGGAAGAACAGGTCTGATTGGGGGGGCGGGGCTGGGGGAGGCTCCTGACTCCCAGGCAGGAGCAGCTACATAATTCGAGGGGCCCAGTGCAAAATGAAAGTGCCGGCCCCTTTGTTCAGAATTGACTAAGAATCTCCAGACAGTGACAGCAGAGCCCTACACCTGTGTGTGGCCCTTTGAAGCGTGGCGAATGTGTGAATGCAGGAGTCCCAACCCCGCTCCAGGGTTTCTGTCCCAGGTGCCTGGAGAAGGTTGGGCAGTAAGCAGAGACGGAAGAATCCAGAGGTTTGCTTAGGGCAGTGAGGGAATAGAAAATGGGGAGTTCTGTTTGAGACCTTGAAGTTCATGTCCAGGAGGATGGCTCTGGGTCTGGCGCTCAGATGTGAGGTCAGGGCCACAAGTCCCCACGCAGAGCACCAGGTACAAAGTTCAGTGTTGCCTTTGGCACCAACACACGCACTCCCTGAGCTTGCCAACTGACCCCAGATGACATCTCTCAGGTTCCTTTTCTGGGGCCTGCCGCCAGACCCTCCTACCTGCTACCAGCTGCCGCTCATGGGAATGGCTGGTTCCCATTTCCCTGAGGGCTGGGAGGTTACTTAGCAAACCCTCTGCCTCCGGACTAAATTTTGCCCCAACTACCTTGGACACTGGCCTTGAGGACCTGTGTTTAAAGATCCTCAGCAGCCATGGGGCGCCTGGGTGGCTCAGTCGGTTAAGCGACTGCCTTCGGCTCAGGTCATGATCCTGGAGTCCCGGGATCGAGTCCCACATCGGACTCCCTGCTCAGCGGGGAGCCTGCTTCTCCCTCTGACCCTCCCCCCTCTCATGTGCTCTCTCTCTCTCTCATTCTGTCTCAAATAAATAAATAAAATCTTTAAAAAAATAAAATAAAGATCCTCAGCAGCCTGACAATTGGTAAACTTCCCCTAGAGCTCACCTCTCCTGGAGGCGTGGGTAGAGTCTGTTTGACGCTCTCTTACTGAGGATGAGGGATCTGCAGCCCAAGGCCATCAGCCATCTGCCCAAGGCCATTACCATGTCTGTGTCAACTGGGCTTGCTCTGTTGGTGTCGCCCCACAGAGGCTTCGTGGTGACCCCGCCTCCTGCTTCACAGCAGCCCGACTGGCAGAGCCTGGCTCAAGCACTACATTCACTCACTCATTCATTCACTCACTCATTCACTCGTTCGCTCATTCACTCGTTCACTCACTCATTCACTCATTCGCTATTCACTCGTTCACTCACTCATTCATTCACTCACTCATTCATTCATTCACTCACTCATTCACTCATTTGCTCATTCACTCACCCCTTCACTCATTCATTCATTCACTCACTCATTCACTCATTTGCTCATTCACTCATTCGCTCATTCACTCGTTCACTCATTTATTCATTCACTCATTCATTAATTTGGCAGATATTGAGAACATGCTACATATCAAAGGCTGGGGCCAAATAAAAAAGGTGAGTAATTACATAAGTAATTCACCTCTTAGCACCTTGAGAAGGGTTATGATAAAGAGTGAGACTGTGAGAGGAGTTTCTGATTTACCACGTGAACAGGGCTCAGGGCCCGGGCTGAGCATGCGTCAATTTCCCTGCCTGTACCAATTCCCAGAGATGGCTATGTCAATGCGCCTCCCGTCCTGTGTGCTCTTCTTGGGACAATGACCTCCATCGAAAGGTGGGCTCTACATTCCCTGCCTTGAACTGGGCAGACCCTGACCAATAGACGGTGGCAAAGTCCCAAGCCTAGGTCATGAAGTACTATGTAACTTCCACCTGGCTCTCCGGGGACAAGTGCCTTTGTAGCCCCGAGTGGCCATGTAAAAGCCTGAAGCCACCATGCTGGGAGACACCCCTGAGGAGACCACGAGGGAGCTGGGGCGGGAGGTGGAAACCCGAGGTGCCAACAGGTGATGGAAGAAGCCTTTGGGATGACCCTCACTCAGCCACCATCCAACTGCAACCTCAGTGATGGCCCGGCTGAGCTGCTCCCGAATTCCTGACCCACAGAAACCCTAAGAGATAAGAAATGGTTATTTTTGTTTTAAGCCACTAAGTGTTGGGGTAATTGGTTGACAGCCACGGTAACGGGAACACTGTTGAAAGGTGGGGGTGGGCGGACAGCAGTGCTCTGCACAGAACAAGCAGCATGTGCAAAGGCCCTGAGGTGAGAAAGAGGTGCTGAAATAAAGGTGCAGAGGCTGCCAGGGTCTTCTCCCAAGCTTTCCAGAACTCTTCTTTTGGTCCTACCCACATTTCTCCAGTGAACAGGTATTCTTGTTTCCTCTTCTGTACAGAGAGCCATTCACGTAATAATGGGACCTTGGGAAGAAAATTACATTCATTTTTTCGGTCAGTAAGATTAAATGCGTGGCCTGGGTATGTATGTGGTGGGGGGGTAGCTCCACTGCTCCCTGAGGTGGTGTAGATGCTCCCTGCAGTGCACAGAGGAGGGGATTGATCTGGGGCAGGGGGGAGCTCATGGAGGCTGGGTTCCTGCACTGCCCTGAGGGATAAGTGGGAGGAAGTGAGATGGGCTCCAGACCCACCTGGTAGCAGAGACTGCCCTCCTGCCCCAGCTCCAGGTCAAGCATCTCCAGGCTGTGTGACTTTGGGCAAATCACCCTCCTGCTCTGGGTTTAGGTTTCTCCTCTGTAAAATGGGAACAATGATGACACTGACCTTTTTGGGCTTATACCTTGTGGCTCAACCAATACAATCCTCATGACAGTCGCCCCTTACTCTGGGCTCATCTGTGTCAGGCACCAGGATAGACTCCTGACCTGCACTCACACACTTCTTCTTCACAAGGGCAGGGGTAGTATGACCCCATTTACAGTCGAGACAATTGAGGCAGAGGTGGGCAAACAGAGTCCTGAGCACACAGGAAGTTCAGTGAATGCTGGTGGCTGATAACCAGCTGCCTTTCCTTTTCCTGCCAAAACCCCACACACCTGGTTTAAAGTTCTCAATCGCCCGGATGAGCCCCTGGTTCCTGCTGCCCCCAAGCAGGCTACCCTATTCAAAACTCCATAGGATTTAGAAAAACAAAGGAAAAAAAACAATACCAAACAGCTGGACGGGCCCCCACTCTAGGAAAAGCAACAGAAGAAGACGGGAGACAGCACACCCGGGAAAGGCGCCAGCACTCCTGGGTACCTGCCGCCCAGCGACCGTTTCCCCCCAGAACAAGTCCTGCCCTTGCGGGGTTTACATTCCTGGGGGCTCGGGGAGCAAGATACATAGTAACTGTGAGGCTGATCACAGCAGTACAAAGTATCTATTTGGTGCTCACCCTCTAGTTCCTGCTCTAACTCACTTAATTTTCACACTCTGTGAAGTGGGTGGTATTATTTTCCTCCGTTTGCCAAGAGGAAACAGTGGCACAGAGAGGTTAAGTGACCTGCCCAAAGTCACACAGCTGGTATAGCCAGGATTTAAAGCAGTAAACAGGTAAATTAATAAATCAAATATTCCTCAGTTTCCAAGGGGAGGACTCACGTACATTCATCATGTAAGAGACGGGAGTTACCCAGCTTACAAATCAGGGTATGGAGGCACAGAGAAACTTAGCCGCCCACCCGAGGGCCTCAGGCTGGGGAGCAGGGTTTAGAGGCAGCCCCCTCTGACTCCCGGGCTAGCAGAGACCTCTTTACCCCAAGCTATTCTTCCTGCAATCCTTTTCCCCACTCTGGCCAAAGGCAGTCCTAGAACAATCTGCCCCAGGACAAGACAGCCTCTCAGTGTCACAACTGCTGAGCCAGGGCCACCCCAGGACACAACAACCCCCCAGGCCCCAAGGGAGAAGGGAGGACCGGAGCCAGCTCCCGGCTAGAGCGCCCACTTCCCTGGCCTCGAAAGGATTTTCTCTGTCTCTAGAAACAGTTTGGACTCGCTGCCTCCTCCCCAGCCTCACCCCTCTGCCCCCCTCTTTGCTCTCTCTGGGGGTCACTTCGCTTGTGTTCCAAGCACTAACATGGAATCAGAGGGGGGATGGTAGAGGGGGAGAGGGAAGGGGAGCTGAAACTTGAGATCCCAGCCTTGGTGGGGGGAGGTTGGAGAGAGACAGAGAAAGAGAGAGAGACAGAGACAGGAAGAGAGGGTTCAGTTGCGTTTGGTTTTCTGAAGCAGGCAGCTTTGGGGGTTTGGTGCATGTGTGTGTGTGTGCATGCGTGTGTGTGTGTGTGTGCGTGTGTGTTGTTTTCTTTCTCACAGGGAGGCCAGGCCTCCACTGGATAATAAAAGAACTCAGAGTCCAGGCCAAGCGAGGCAAGCAGGGCCGGTGCGGGGACAGGGCAGCCGTGGGCAAGAACGAAGAGGAAGGAAGGGAGAGGGGGAAGATTCGAGGTGAGGGGGTGTCTGCGGGCGGGGAGCAGAGGCGGTGGGAGGAAGCCGAGCAGCTGTGGTATTTGGAGCAAGTATAAATAGCTGCTTGGACAGAGCTCGGCCAAGCAGGGGTTTGTCGCTGCCACGGCTCCGCGCGCAGGCCTGTCCTCGGCTGGCCACTGCGGCGGCCCATCCTGGGCGGGGAGCCCGGCGGTGGGCAGGCGGAGCGCCCTGGGGGCTCTGAGCCCACAGCCCTCGCCCTCGCCACATCTCCGATGCTCTCCCGGCCGGCCATGCTGCTGGGCGGCCTCCTCCTCGTCGTGGCCGCCGGGTCGGTGGCCCAGCGGAGGGGGCAGGAGGCGAGCGGGCGCCGCCGGGCACACCGCGTCCAGCATGGCCAGTGCAGCTACACCTTCGTGCTGCCCGAGCCGGAGCCCTGCCCGCCGGAGCCGGAGGCCTTCGGGGGCTCCAACAGCCTCCAGAGGGACTCGCCGGCCGCCGCACTGAACCTAGCCGACTGGCCGGCCCAGCGAGTGCGACAGCTGGAGAAGGTGCTGGAGAACAACACACAGTGGCTGCAGAAGGTAAGGGCTGGGCCTCTGCAGGGGCGCGGTGAGGGGAGCCAGGGGGTCCTGTCCCGACGGATAGGTGGGGCGTCCTCCCCAGAGGTCTTCCCCTACACAAAGGCCAGGCTGATCAAACTCATGTCTCTGAATTGTACAAATTGGGGTAATGAGGAACAGAGAGGGACAGGGATGGCCCTGATGCCACACAGCAAGACGAGGCAGGCTCAGAGCTGGAAACGTGGCTGCCTCACAGCCTTCGTTCCCTCATCTGAGGGAAATCCGCTGAGCTCTGATCCCGGGCCTGGCCCACCCTGGGTGCCAGGGATATAACAGTAAACAGAACAATATGTCCCCTGCTGGCCTGGTGGGGGAAAGAGGCCATAAAGAGATGAGCGATAAATATCTCCCGTGTCAGATGGTGAAGCAAAATGAAGGAGGGAAGAGGGCAAGGGGTGACGGGGTGGCTATTTGAGGTCAGAGAATCCAAGAGGGCTTCTTGGAGGAGGTGATGTTTGAACCCAGAGAACAAGTAAGGTAATGGAGCAGCCCATGTGGGTACCTGCGGGGAGCGCGTTCGCTACAAAGGGGCCAGCAAGTGCAAAGGCTGCGAGGTGGGAATGCAGTCAGGGTGTCTGGGGAACGGCGGGGACCAGGGCTGCTGGAGCAGAGAAGGAGGGGAGAGAGGGGCAAGCGAGCAGATCTGAGAGGGGAGGGGAGGGGAGGCAGGGCGCACCGGGCCGTGGGGGCCACTGGGAGGACTCTGGCTCTAGCTCTGAGCATCTCAGGAGCCAGTGCAGGCCTTGGAGAGGAGACACAGCTGATTTGTTCTGAACAAAATACAGTGTGGGGGCAGGGTGCATGCTGGGAGCGGGAGGAGGAGCCTGCTCAGCTGTCAGGCAAGAGGGGATGGATGCCTGGATGGAGCGGGACCGGGCTGGGGGGAACCTGCTTTATTCTGCAGGGGGGCTAATCGCCCTGCTGATGAACCAGGGACGGGGTGGCAGAGAATGAGGAGTTGAGGACACCCCAGGCTGCTCTGGCCCAAGGCCCGGACCGCTTTAGAGTCTTCTGTCCTCATTCTTTCAGCAAACACTCTGAGCACCCGCTGTGTGCCGGGCCCTCGACAAGGCACTGAGTACAGGGATGAACAAAGCCGGCGTGGCCCTGCACAGGCCTGGGGGCAGGAAAGGCGTCCTGTGGGTTCCAAGACAGGGCTGGCAGGAGTGCCTAAGTGGGAGCAATGGAGGGAGGGAATGAGACCCAGGCCCCAGGTGCAGGGGACAGTCTGAGCTGCGGCACGGGGTGGAGGGAAGTGGTCCGATTCCTAGAGCCTTCGGATGTATTAAGCAGCACATAGCAAGTGACAGGGTACCACTCCAAGGAGCAGTGCTTTCTTACTCCTTGGTTTCCAAACTTTTCAAATCATGTGCCCAATCATCAAACAACATCCACTCCCCTGATATGTGCACATTTATTTAATATTCTTTGCACATGTACTCATATTCATGTAAGTACAGGGAATAAAACAAAATGAAATGGAACCTTCCATTTTCAAAACGATGACATACAAAATCATGTAAATTGAAGTTCTGGTAGTTTCCTCTGTCTTCCAAAGGATTGCCTTGAGCACACCTGGGTTTATCCATCCCCAAGGTGGAGACACTGCCCTACACGTAACTAACCAAACTGCTTTGCACACACTTGCATATACACCCACGTGCATGCATACTTAACCTCCTGCCTATTCCTGCCCTGACCTCAACCCCCCACTCACCATCTTCCCATAGTCCCTTTCCCACCTGCCCTCCCACCTACCTGCCCTGCAACACTGCCAGTCTGCCTCACACGCTGGAGCCAATCCAGTGGGGGCTCCATGCTGCCCAGAAATCTGTGTGTTTCCCGTTCCATGAGGGTCACTCCAAACCTCGCCTCCTCCTCAAGCCTCCATCTTTACTGCCCCCCATGCTCTCACCAGACCAACAACCCCCTGCTTCAGTGAGAAATGGGGACAAAGGGCGAGCCACCCTTCAGCTGCCTCTCCCACACCTGCAGGTTCACCCATGTATCCACCAGTCCCCAGGACTTTTCTCCGGCTCAGAAGGAAGAGGTTCCTCCATGGGCCAAGGCCCACTGCTCCTTCCTAGGATGCAGATTCCATCCCCCTGCATCCCCCTGCAGTCCCCAAGCCAACTATCCCCCCTGTGTTCCCCCTCTGCTGATTCTTCCCCTCAGTGCTTGATCCCGTCCAAGTATGTCCCATGGTAAAAGAAAAAAAAAAAAAAGGAAGTAGAGTAGGGACGAGTAGAGGAAACAGGTCTCTTCTCCAACCCACACTCTCTCTGACTTCTGGCCTAGCTCTCAGAAGTCCACACACTCTGCCTCCACTTCCTCACATCCCATGTACTCCTTCCCCCAAAAGTCACGTCCCACATGCCACCTCCCACACGCAATGGCCACGGCTCAGTCTCCATCATACTTGATCTCCTGACAAATTTAATGTTGCTGACCAGTACCATCTTTCCAAAAACTGTCTCCATCAGCAAGTCCTCAGCCACAAAACATGTCTCCTCTGACCTACCTCCCAACGGCTTTCCCTCCCTTCACAGCCCCACCCTGCACCAGCCACCTCCATCTCCTACCTGGACAGTCATCATGGCAGCCACCCTGGGCTCCCTATTTCCACCCTGGCCCCCACAGTCCGTTTCCTCAGCAGACAGAGGGACCCTAAGTCAGATCCTGTCCCTCCTCTGCTTAAAACCCTCCTGGGGCTCCTATCTCTTTGGAATAAAAGCAAAAATCCTTAGTCCCTAGAACATCAGCCCTCCCAGATGCCCACATGGCTCACCCAACCTCCCTTGGGTCTCTGCTTAAATGTCACCTCCTCAGAGAGGCTCTCCCTGTTCACTCCATTTAAAACAGCCACCCTCCCTCCGTCACTCTATATCCCCTCAACCCAGCTTTGGTTTTCTTTTCTTTTCTTTTTTTTTTTTTAAGATTTTATTTATTTATTTGACAGAGAGAGACAGCGAGAGAGGGAACACAAGCAGGGGGAGTGGGAGAGGGAGAAGCAGGCTTCCCACGGAGCAGGGAGCCTGATGTGGGGCTCGATCCCAGGCCCCTGGGATCATGACCTGAGCCGAAGGCAGACGCTTAACGACTGAGCCACCCAGGCGCCCCTGGTTTTCTCTCTTAGCACTTCTCACTGCCCATTCTTAAAGCACTTCTGTTGATCTGTGAACTCCAAGAGAGCAAGGATCATAGGTGCTTTGTTCACTACTGAGTGCCCAGAGCCTAGCACAGTGCCTGGCACAGGGCAGGGGCTCCATACACATCTGTTGGCGTGAACGAACGCACTGATGCGTGAACGTCCCTGAGTCCCTCCCGTCGCTCCGGGCCTCCCCCACCCTGAAATGCCAGTGTTTCCCAAGACTCTGTTCCCACTCTTCCTTTCCTCTCACATTTGATGGTACTGTCCCCAGGGCTGCCCCCACCACTCCTGCAGCACTGTCTCCCATCTGCCCCATGATGACACCAAATCAGTATCTGATGGTCTCCCGAGCCCCAAATCCATGACCCTGACCCCGCAGATGTCTCCCCTCTGAGAGGCCATGGTGCCTCAACCCCAAAGCTGCCTGACACTCAGCTCTTCCCTCCCTGCCTACCTGTCTCTGTTTAAGGCCTTCTGCGGCCCTGGGGTGTCCATGCCACCTGACCCCAGGCAGCAGGTTCTGCCCTTCCTGTGGCCTTGGCCTGTCTCCTTGTGGTGCATCCTCTTGTCTACCCAGCTGCCACCCTGCTCAGGCCTTGTCACCTCCCCGCTGGCTTCTCTACCCTGAGCCTCACCTGCTCATCCCTCCGTGACTCCCCCGGGTGCCTGGTACTTGGGCAACACTGGCTGAGCCAAAGGATGAATTTAAACCAGTGGCTTTCAGGTCAGGTCCCCCGGGCCACCTCTTCAGCCTGAAGTGCAATGTCCCCTCCAGATGTCCATGGGGCACCACGGGGCAGAGAGCGCCAGGCCGACCTGAGTTCACATCCCGGCCTGACACTTGCCACATGGCTGCGGATGAGCAAGTCTCAGTTTCCCCAATCTGCAAAGTGGAGCAAATGGCAACATGCGGGGGGATGGCCGGGAGGACCACTGAGGCGGCTCCCACGTCGCTCTCAGCCTGCTGTCTGGGCAGAGAGCATGCTCCGTGAACACCGCACCAGATGCGGTGGATCAATGGGCTTTTACTTCATTCAACCACATCTCTAGTTTGAGCCCGGCACTGCCGGGTGAGGGCAGCTCAACCTCGGACAAGTCAGTCCAATGGCCCCAGTCCAATAACCTCGGGGCTGGGAATGTCACTCGTCCGTGCTGGTATTCTCTAGGGCTCCGCAGTCCTGCCTGGTCTCTGCTGGGGTCCAAGCGGGTGTTTGCTCTTGGTTGAAGGCCCCCTTCATGCCCTTGGGCTGGGCATATCTCAGAGTCTTTGAAACTCGAAGGCCTCTTCTTGGTTTCTGCAGTAACATCCCAGAGGAGGAAAAAAATGAGTTTCAAAATATTCTGATGTAGAAGCATCATCATCACCACCATTGCCATTAGGGATTACTGGGGATGAGCGGAGAGGACTGGCCTAGCCAGACTGAGCTCTCGGCAAGATTCCAATCATCAGAGTGGGCGCAGGGGAGCCCCTCCCTGCTGCAAGCCGCCAGTGGCCAGGACGTGCTCAGCCCCTGCCCCTGGCTCCAGCCCTGTCCTCCCCCGCCCCCAACCCCTGTACACAGGTGAGGAAACAGGCCAGGGAGGGGAAGGGACTTGCTGGAGTCACCCAGCAGTGACAGCTAGCCTGGACTCTCACTCCAAACTCCAGGTCCTTTCTCCTGACTCTGGAGGGGGCCAAGGAGGTGGGGGAGGCAAGACCTGAGAGATGGTGGGGTGTTCCCTAGGGCCTTAGAATTCCTGAATCCCAGACACTCCCTCTCTTCTCCCAGCATGGAGCTGGCCATGGCTGGTGTCCTCCCGCCTATGCTCA